TGATAAGTTGCTGACTACAGTCAGAGCAGAGAATTATGCTAAGAGTGGACTATTTATAATGAAATATCAGGTAATTCAAGCAAGCACGGTGCCATTGATGGAGAGCCAGACGAATTATCGAACAAATATAACGAGTTCTGATTAGAATCCATTCCAGATCTAAAAAAAAAAAAAAATACCCGATAATGAATGGACGCACAATATTCAGGAAAATCGTAGATCCATATTCTTAAAGCCAGCCAATCAACAGGAAATATTGGAATTAGCGCACAGCATCGCAAGATAACATAACATTTTAGCTATTGATGATAACACTGTCAATCTTTCATATATTGGCTTTTGCATATAGGGTTTGTATTCTCCAATAATCTGCTCCATTTGTTCCGTTCAAAAATCAACTTTTACTTCAACTGTAAATTTCACTTACAAATTCAACCCGCTTTTTCCTTGAAGCTGAAGGTAGATAGTTAAATATTTGTAATCAGATTGGAAACGGTTTGGAATATTTTTCTGAATCTTTCTAAATTTCGTTGTGTATCCTGTGATTGAATTTGTTGAATATGGTAAACATTTGAGGAAATTTTACAAAGGGGATCACGCCAATTTTTTCCAGACATCTCATTTTCATCCACATCATCTTTCGCATTTTCCAAACGGAGACATTCGTATAAATCACGTATATTAAATTGATATAAATCGTCCAACACTTTCTCCAAGGATTCTATTTCCACTTTATCCCCTGTATATTTCTGATGGCTACAAAAATACGTGTGTATTTTCTGGGAATGTACATGGTATGTTCAGGGAATATACATACATATCTGTAACGAAAGAAAAACGATCCTTTATTTGATCTTATTAGTTTATTCACATATTTAAGTATTTACTGATGTAATTTTTCAACAACAAGAGTTACTTACAACTAACCTAAAACTAATTAAATGGATAGTAAATTAATTAAAATATAACTTATAACTACGGACTAAAAGTCCAAATTAATATTTTCCGCATTTTTGCCGTTGTCGCAATGATGTGAGCAATAGTTTTACATTATTAGAAGAATCATTAGGTTCAGACAACCTTACTTGTCTCTTATGCGAAAATTTTTCTTGTGTGGTTTTCTCACGTGATCCCTAGCGTCTTCAATGCTTCAAGGCCAGAACAGCAGTATCACCTGTTGTTTAGAACAAGAAATAGTAAAATAATCAAATGTATCTAATTTAAACACCAACATACCTTTACATGTTTGCGGGGTTTTAAGCCATTATTATACCGTAATTTCCGTCTTGAAGACACATCAACACTGAGGCACAAGCACGGTTTTTATATTTTGACTCATATTTATTTTTCGCTTATCGATTAATATGGATTTTTAATATTCTCAAGTTTTCAAAAAACACGTGATGCACACAACCAGAGATACACATAGATAAAGACAAGCAGCAGTTGTCTCCTGCTCCCATGTCAATTATGGAAAAGTGCTGAATTGTCAGACCGCGGATATCACATCACTGATAAACCGATATTGACACAATCTAAATTTTGTCTGGCTTAGAAGGACAGTATTCTTGTAACTAATAAATCAACAGTCATACAGGTGATTTAAAAAATCAGGATTTGTGTAAAAGCGCATAATAATTTGTTTATGCCAATAATCAATAAATTATAAGCTTCGCAGCTTTTCAGAAATTCTGAGAGCTTTGGCGTTACCGCCAAGCCGCACTGCGTGAAAGATGATTCTCATTGGTCCGCTCTCATCGTCACTGTCGAAGGTCACACTAAGCGGGTAATTTGAATTTGTTATATGCATTTGAATTGTTTGAATTTCATAGGGTGGGAACTGTTAGCTCCGGATAAATTTATTTGAGTGATATAGAAATTTTATTAATATTGCCCAATAAGATTATAACGTTGACGCATTTACAAAGAAAAGTTGATATAAACTCTTGTACTTGTACGTGCCCTTACTTTTCTGCTGCGGGCATGCAAAATTTATATTCAACCAATTTGGAATATGCCGTAGATATACATTCATGTATATTACCGGAATATTTGTTTTGAACATACTAGGTCACCTGCACATATACACAATATGTACATACCTGGCATGTTCATCTGCACATATACCCAATATGTACATATATGTACATCCCTAGGATATACTTTTTATGAACGTTGATGAATATACATGCATGTATATTACACGAACTTTCATGTTGGGAATGTTCCCGCAATGTTCCGTATATTTTTTGCACATTCTGGGATATTCATAGACTATCAAATGCTATCTGGGTGGAACCAACCTGTTGATTGTCCCTCAGGTAAACCTGCCATGTTGCAATGGAATTGAAGCTCTTCTCGGCGGCACAGCAGCGCCACAAGCATTGAATCAGCATGGCGGCGACGGGAATTTGTCTGTTGAAGTGCTTCTGTCGCTGTTTCTGTTGCACTTTGAGGGCAAACCCCGAGCCCAGAATGCCCTAGAGAGGTTTACGGGTGATTCGCTCCGCCTCACTTCTGTTTGGTTCGATTACTCACAGCCGGCAAAGCAAAGAACGATATGGCAAACACACTAAAGACTGCCGCGACAATTTTGCCCATCCAGGTCCTCGGCACTGTATCCCCATAGCCAATGGTGGTAAGAGTGACGATGCCCCACCACAATGCGTCTGCATAACTGGCGAAGTCGCCCGTGTTTTTGCCTTCTCCCTCCGGATTGGCGTCCTTTTCTGCCAGATAAACGAAGTAGCTGCTGAATATCAGGCCCAAAAATCCGATGTAGAGTGTGGTGATCAGCTCCTGAAACTCGTTAAATTGAACCTTTGGATCGTCTGGGCGTTAAGAGCAGAACTCACCTGCCGATGGATGTAGACAACTGAGCCCAACAGTCTCCATGTTCCCCCTTGCCTGTCGACGTGCAGCATTCGCAGGATTTGCAGGAACCTGATCCCACGTATGGCGGAGGTGGCGAAAACTTGCCCATTGGAGCCCAGAGTGAGCACCACCATGGAAGCGATCACCACGATCAGATCTGAAGTAAATTGCAAATTTACTTTAACAGTGCGAACACTGGATGAGCGCTTCGCGACAAATTCAGAATCTTTTCGTGGGCGTTTTGGGTCTTACCGATGATGCAGATGGGCTTTCTGATGAATCTGAAACGGCCCCAGAAGCCCATATACTTGGACCGACAACCAGCTGACCAGAGGCGCACAATGTATTCTGCCCCGAAAAATATCACTAAGTATATCTCCTGAAATGTGGGAATTGGATCTTTTGAGAAACTTTGAGAAATTTGCAAAAAACTACAGGGTGATTCAAAATTGGCGTCATTCCTCTGGAGGTGTTGTCTGGCGCTGTTATAGGAGTACAGAAAAAATAGTAAAAGAAATTAATTG